CTAAGAAGGCTTTCTGCCAAATGTGTCATTTTGGCTGATACCTAAAAGGTGAATAAGAGTTTTAAAGACTCAGATGAGATAGTGTAGCACAGAAACAGTGAAGCACCTTTGTTAATTGTTTAGTATTGCAAAAATAAGACATTTTCCATGTAAGTAGGAGGACTTCTGCTTTCCTTCAAGATGAAGTAACAGGGAAAAATTTACCCTCCATTTGAAACAACCAGACACACACACACACACACACACACACACACACACACACACACCCCACACACACAAAAGGGCAGAGTATGGAAAATAAGATTATAAAGCAGTGGACATCAGACAACAAAACACATTGATCTTTGAATTACAAGAAACAAATTAGATGAGTCCTATGATTGGTCAATGTTCCTGCCTTCGGAAAGTTTCCAGGCTGTTGCACAGGGAAGAGGAACCCACGCAGAGCTCAGAAGACTCCCTGAGTAGAGCAGATGCATGTGAGAGACAGGAGAGAACCATGAAGATAGAGTTTGTGGGACACAGTATCAGAGAGGATAGAGAAAGGTCTCTAGAGATCCCAGGAGGAAACTCCTCTAGCAGTCAGCAGAGTGCTGATCAGCCAGTGAGGAAACTGCTCAGAAAGTTTGGACGTAACAGTATCTGGTGCTAACACAGGGCCAGGAATACTACTTGATATACAGAATTCTAGACCTAGCAAAAATATGTTTTTTAACACACATATACACATAGTGAGGAAACTGCTCAGAAAGTTTGGACGTAACAGTATCTGGTGCTAACACAGGGCCAGGAGTACTACTTGATATACAGAATTCTAGACCTAGCAAAAATATGTTTTTTAACACACATATACACATAAAATTAAGTGGAAAATATAGTCATTAGTAGAAATGAACTACAAGGCATGTTAAAGGAGGTCCTTCAGGTAAAAGAAAAGTGATACCACACACAAGTACGGATCTACATGAAAGAATGAAGAGCGCACGAAGTGGCAACTACACGCATAAGTACTTAAGATTTTTGTTACAGGTAAAAGAAAAGTGATACCACACACAAGTACGGATCTACATGAAAGAATGAAGAGCGCACAAAGTGGCAACTACACGCATAAGTACTTAAGATTTTTGTTATTATTTAAATCTCTTGAAGAAATAATTGACTAAATAAAGACAACTGACTATGTAATATGGAGTTTATAACATACTAATAAGTAAATGTTTAACAACAGGTTGTCATAAAGAGTCTGACTCTATTTTAGTTGCTCCCCTTCCCCTTCTGCTCCACATCTGGGAAAGCTGACAAGCTGCTTCCCTCCTTTGGCATCAGCAGGGAAGATCAAACCATGCAAACCCTGGCTTGCACACAGGAACTCTCCCTGAATCCACACCACTAACCACAATAGCAAACTAAAGCTATTCATCTATCCTTTCACTCAGTCCATTTCTGACCAGCACAGGTGCCAACCCTACTCTACTTACAGAGTCTCAATATGTGGGTAATCTTTGTACACTCTTGGTACATCTTTAGTCTTGTAGCATCATCAGTCAATATCGAACCAATTTGGGAGAGGGGAGGTAGATCATGCCCCTCACTGGATAACTACAGAACAAATAGTAGGATGGTATAAGTGATGACCGCCATTACCTTGGGGTCTCTTGACTTGCTAACTGGCTCAGCTGCCTGCTGGCTACAGAGGGCTTTGAGCTGTTCTAGCGTGCTGGCACTTTGAGATGTGCTGATTTGTGCTGCATTTACTGAGACTTCTAATTTCTGTTACAGATTTAAATGATAGACCCAAGTCAGAAGTATCAAAATTTGACAGGAACAGGAGTACACGACTGTGGCCTTTCTTAAGTGACTCTGAGTTGTTTGTCTCTTAGCCTGGACTTTTCTGTTTGTCTTGGATTTAATCATGTATCTCAATTCTAGCATAAGCCATGAATGATGCTAAGCTCAGAGGAATGAGTCTTACCCTACAACTATTGGTTGTGTGTCTCAAGCAGGTGTTGACCCTACTCTATACAGTGCTCGGGGGAAAGACTGACGCACTGTGCAATAAGCAGACCCATCCAGTTGTTGCCCACCTGAGAAAGAGTAGTCACCATCCAGTGTGCTCAGGTCCACGCTCCTGAAAGCAGATGGCTCAACAGAAACCTATGGAATGCCTTTGTTGCTTCTGCTGCCACCTATGTGTCTGCCATCAACAAGATCCTGATCCTCACAAGTCATAGAGACATGTCACCCATGGCCCACCTATGGGCTTAATTCAAACCTGACTTTAACTTGAAGTCTTTAAACCCAATAAAGTGAAAATTGTCCTATGTGAGATGACTAATCCTGAAAATACTGATTTGGAGCTCTCTGGAAGAAGAAACTTACAAATGTGGAAAGAGTAGAGAGGACCATCCTTCTCCCTGGAGTGTATCTCGTACCTACCCCCTCTTCCCACCACAAACCTGGATACAGCAGGAGGAAACAAAAACTAAAATAAAGGTCCACAGTTAAACTCAATTGGAAATTCAAAATTTACTAAAATAACTTATTCAACAGAAAGATAAAAGGGCTCTGATTGGATTTCATGTCTCTACAACATATGTTTTAAATTAACTTGAACATTTTCTGATATGTAGCACTTGAAAAACCTTCATGGCCTTAATGGATATCAGGGATCAAATTGCAGTTATACCTGGAGATCCTGCTGAATTTACATAAGGTGCATCCTATACTTTAGGGAAGTTACCTAACATAAAATAGAGGACAAACACATATGTCCCACAGTAAACATTGAAACTAGTGCCTTGCCTAAATTTTCTATATTGAACGCTGACCTAAAATATCTAATATGGACACTCTGAAACAACAGGAATAAATTAAAATATAATTGATTATCTGCTACTTACAATCAGCTAGATAAAACAGAACCCCATAGACTTTCCCTCTTAATTATAATAGTTAATACATCCCAATATAGATTAAAACAAGTTCTAGAGTAATTAAGAACCATCATATAACACCTACTGAAGAAAAGGACCATTGTTCTTACTTTCTTCCCCTTTACCATTCCAATTTGGTCAATGTTCCAATCTGATAAAAATTAATGGCATCTAAAAGTAGATTACCACAACCTAAATGCCATGGTAGCACTGAATAAGATATCCATACCTAATATTATCAAAACTGCTGGCTCCAATAAGTAACTGGAAAATATTTTGCTATGATAGATGGCTAATATGTTTATTCAGTGCTTATTTCAACAGCCTCTCAATCATAGTTTGCCTTCACCTTTGAAGAGACACCATACATATGGGGTATCTCAACAGCCCTGTTATCACACACAAACTTAGGAGGCAACATATTAAATATGACCAATTTTTTCCAGGAACACAGGTATGCCATTACTTTGATGGCATCCTCCTTTAAGTAGACTCATTTGAACCATTCATTCAGGAAATAAAAACACAAAGGACTCAGAAAAAAATGGTGGGGAGAAGGCAATAGATCAATGCCCACATAGTACAAGGGCCTGTCTTCTCAGTCAAATTTATGGGAATTATTTGGTCTGTCAAAGGCTGTTTCATGGTTGACACTGTTTAAAAAACAACTTTGACATGCTTAGCACCACAACATCAAAATAAGCCTAATGCCTTTTTAGGCCCTGGAAGCAACATATTCCTCATTTATAAAAATTTTTCATAAACCCATTTATGGTGTTATTCACAAACTGGCCCACCTTTAGTTAGGTCAAAAGAATCAGGGCCGGCCCGGTGGCGCACTGGATAAGTGCGCCGCTTGGGAAGTGTGGCGGCGCTCCCGCCCGAGGGTTCGGGTCCCACATACAGACCGGTTCCCGCTCAAGTGAGCGAGGCGCGGGGGCAACACTGAGGGTTGCGGTCCCGTTGCCGGTCCCCGGTCCAGTGCAGGGGCAACACTGAGGGTTGCGATCCGTTGCCGGACACGGAAAAAGACAAAAAAAAAAAAAAAAAAAAAAAAAAAAAAAAAGAATCAATAACATGTCCAAACTGCAGTAGAAAAGGCACTTCCTCAAGTGCTCCCGGAGTCTCCTCTGCTATAGAGATTTTAGCAGCCTCCTCTCATGACTCCTAGAGTCTCTGGACATATCCTGAACAAATAACTTTTCTTTTTAAATATGTCATGATTTACATTTTGCCACTGCAGATCTTCTTTTTTAATAGACTTTATTTTTTAGAGCAGTTTTAGATTTGCAGCAAAATTGAGCAAAAAGTACAGAGGATTCCATATACCCATTTTCCCCACACACCCAAACCACCCTTACTATCGACATCCCACACTATAGTAGTACATTTGCTGTAATCAACAAACATACATTGACACATGCAGCTCTTAATAAACATAAACAACCATAGTTTTCCAATGAATGCATTATTTTTGGTTAAATAAATACTATTTTATTCCACATATAAATATTACTTTACATAATTCTAAGAATTTTAAATACATTTATCAAAAAATACCCTCAAGTGAGTAATTCCATTATAATGCAGAATACCTAAAATGCCATATATTTTAACATATTGAAAGAGCAAATCAGCTACCAGGACTTCCTATAATAGTGCAAGAACCCATACATAATTAGCATGCCTTTTATAAAATCTAGTTAGTTACCGATATGTATTAGATTGGCAAGGTAAATGGCACTTTGTATTTTTAATCTTGATTACAGCTGGTAACTCATCACTATTCTTAAAATTTGGTTAAATTATATTTAATAGTATCTATCTTTTGTGATCTCTTTATCCTCTGCCAGACAGTGTAGTACCTTGGTAAGCCAACTGATTTTCTTAAAGTCACTAGTGTACGCTCTAACCATAACACTACTACGATCTTTTAATCTGAAAAGCAATACAAATATTCAAAGCAGTCCATGGTTTTATTAACTATAAAACACATGCACATACCTATTTATGAACTCAAATATTTTCACATAACTAATGATTTTAAAATACTGAGAAAAAACTTACTTGTACAGTTAGGCAAAGTTCCAGACCATGTTCCATTGGCTGTGCACTGTCTAACTGAAGGTCCAGAAAGAATATATCCCTCCATGCAGGAATAAATGACTGAACTAGAAAATGTTGTGCCATCAATTCGAAAGACTTTCCCATTGGCTGTTGTTCCTGGGTTACCACACTGTACAGCTACAACACAAAATGCTTGAGTATATTTAAAATTAACAAGATTTGAAATCCTTTCATGAAAAGTTAATGACTAAATGATCCCTTTGAATTATCCAGAGAAGCAATAAAATCCTCAAAAATATGCACTGAACTATCTTTCGTAAGTAGCTGAAATGAAAGATGAATTTATGTTGATTTTATTAGCTTAATTACTGGGATGAAAATCATATAACAGATATTTTTAAGACTTTTGTTAGTAGCTTTGGTTAAAACCTTTACAGAGTAAAGTCATTACTTGACGAATTTTGCCTTTCGATACCACAAAATCTTTCACTAAAGAATTGTAAGAATCTCTACCCAAAGACCAACTCAAGTAAAAGTGGAAGATATGTAACAATAATAAGATGCAATAGAGATTTATTATATTTATACTTCTAAGAGAAGAAATGTAAAATATATAATTTAAATATTATAAATATAAATATTTAAATCCATGCATATTTTTATTTATATAAATATATAACTAATTTACATTAAAATTTTACAATCTCTATTTTTAGTTCAAGGAATACCAAAAATAAATTGAGTAAAAACAGAGTAACTAAATTCTAGTAATGGTTTCCATTAAGTTTTCAATATATCCTAAACAAGAGTCATGAACACAAATGACTTTTTACTATTAACTACTATATATTATGCTTAACTATTTGTCATCAATACAATAAGTGAAATTTTAAAATATCTTAAAATCAATCCCATATGAAATGTAATACTAGATTTTGCTGTAATAACAGAAGGCATTGTAATACTCTTCAGTATTTGAGGTTATCTTTATATATAAGAAGCATGATTATAATTTCAGAAAGAGCCATCTAAAATCCCTTGCTGGATTTTAAATATTTCCTTTTGCCTATTATTTGTAGTGGTGCTGTGCTTGTGTATCTGAATGCATGTATAGACATGGAAATTACACATTTTACACATAGACACAAAAATTAAATTCTAAATAATATTTTCCTCAGAACCTATGATAGAGGCTTTTTTTTTTTTTTTTGCTTTTCTGTATTTTCTGTTCATATCCTTTGTCGACTCATCTACTACAATATTTTTTAAAAGTGATCTTCATTTATGAGAAAAATATTAATTCTGTTATATTTGCTACAATTCATGGCTTGCCTTTTATCCATAATGCACATGCTAACAAAATAATGTCAGCAACAGTCTGCATTTCACCTATAAAATATTTTATAGGTCAGCTGAAAAAACAATTGCTTTAGATATTACATATGCAATGTTGCAGGATACAATGTTGCAGGCATAATGATGCCTGAAGTATCACAGACTTTGCCTTTGTAAAATAAGTTTGAGAAATGAAATGAACAGTTTAGTCTGCCTTACCATATTTTGCTCAGCAACTATGTTCTCTAGCTCCTTTCCCTATATCAACTAAGTTACAGCTGTTTCAAGATTATTAAAATTGGTCCTGCTAAAAAAGATAACTATTTTTCCTAGAATACAGACACTAATTTTAAACATAATTTAAAATATTTCTATAATATTGTCAATCAAAAAACTCTCAAGAATGTTCCATTGGGAATAATTTGCTATTTCTAAAACCGATGTGTTCGGTATAACATTAAGTAAGTTTTATAAATACTTTCTCAAGTTCAGTGTTTGTAATAAAATCATCACCAAAACCAATGTAAATTCCAAGGATGATTTTCCCACAGTGTTTTATTTTGCAGCCAATCTTGTAAAGACTTAGGGCAAACACTCTAAATTTTATGAATTCTGGTAACTAGCAATTGTACTCTACACATGGAAATCTTACTTACACTTAGGCATCTGTCTATATATTTTTTTTCATTTCTACAAACATGAAAGCTATGTTCATGTAAGAACAACTTATTTTTTTCCTTAGTGTAGAGACAATATAGGTAAAGAAGAAAAAATAATATTTTTAACAAATATTTTTGTTTTTAAAATCTAAATGTTTGCTATGTTATGAACAATGTTGTATATAAATGACCAAAGAGAGTTTTCACTTTTTATATAACCATTAGCTGTCATAATTCTAAAGGGTGGTGTCAGTAAAACTAGATACTGCTGCTTTTACTCTGTGGTTGCAGGTGGAGGGAACTGACAGAAGTAATATCTGCACTAGTACCCAACTGATTTTGGATACACGTTCCATTCCAGCACTCTGAATATATTTAGTTTCCGTCTATTACCTTTACATTCTGGCTGCCTTCCAGTCCAGCTGCCATTGGCTAGACATGTTCTTTCTTCTGAGCCATGAAGGTTGTAACCAGTATCACAAGCAAAACGTACAGTACTTTTAGTTCTGAAATCGCTTTCCTGTCTAGAACCATGACCAGGAGTACCTGGATCCCCACATGTACCAGTGGTGTCACCTGCAATGCAGTAAAATTCAAAGTAATTTATTTCAGTTACCATTTTTAAGTTCATAATCTAGACCAACATTCTGAAAGGCATTTGTTTTTAATGCATGATGTGTTTTTAATGAGATAAGTTGACTGAGTAAAATGTAATTCACATTTCCCATCTGACTGTCATGGGAAAAAATGCTATAGTTTAGATATGATTGGCTCACCAAAATTCTCGTTGAAATTTGTTCCCCAATGTGGCAGTGTGGAGAGATGGCACCTAGTGGAACATATTTGGGTAATGAGGGTGGGCCCTTAATGAATAGATTAATGCCCTGGTGGGAGGACAGGGAGTTGTGAATGAGCTCCCAGGAGAGGTGGTTGTTAAAAGGAGCCTGGCCAGATGCATTGGCCCCAGGATCATGAGCTGAATAAACTTCTTTTCTTTATAAATCACCTAGATTCAGGTATTATGTTATAGTGACACAAAAACAGACTAATACAAAAAAGCCTACCAAAAAGAAAATAGTTGTAGAGTATGGTGTTCTTTTCATACCAGTGATATTTGGAAAATTAAATAGATTAAGGATATTTTATTAGTATTACCAGAACCAAGTTAAAAAAGAAGCTAATGGAAAATTTTTAACTGACAGTACGATGGACTCAAATGATGATGGACTCATAATACTAAAATTAAAAGATTGGACTCATTAATTTGCCTTGTTCCTTCTCTGAATTTCCTAATTACTGATAATAGTTTTGTTGTTGTTAAACTAGAACTGTGGTGTGCTAGGACATGTAAATATTACAGTATATTTCTTTCTATAGTCTAAAATTTTTCCCCTTAATTTTCTCTACCAATGACTATTGACTAAAGATGAATGAACTGCATATTTCTTATACATGAAAACATAAAAAAATGATAGACAACCAAAAATTAGAGACTCTGATTTAAATTCCTAATAAGGATTTTGTTTATGACTAGGTGTTCATCTTTTGATTTCAATGTTAAGGATACTCAGTCTTTACTCAGTCCCTAAATCACCTCTTAAATCATTCTAATCATAGTTGCCATAGTATTAATATATATTGAGAAAGAGAGAAGAGAGAGGGAAAGAGCCTTGAAAACATAGGCATTGAAAATACTCTTGTTCTTGATGCCTTTGTGACATGCTGTGTGTTTTTGGAATCCTTCTTCAGATCTTCTAGTTTTTATGTGATGTAATATTAATAGCCACACAAATTTAAGATTCTTTAACTTTTGAATATCAGTGTACAATTTATTTTACAATTCAGTAGCAGTTTCCTGCTACATTGGGGGGAGGGTGTACATGTGTGTGTTTGTGTGTGTGTGTGTATATGTATATATCATAGTTAATTTACTATGAGTTACTCCAGTATTTTAATTACCATTAAAATTAGTTTTATAGTCACATTAAAAATGATACTTTTTAAAATCTATAGATGATAGGGATTAACCATTGGTTACAAGAAGATTAAAAGACTAAGTAACTATTTCACACCTTTCAAATCTAAAGTGAAAACAATTTAAAATGACTCCTAAAAACTCATTAGTATGATCTTCAAAGAAATAAAATAATATAAAGGCATTGGACAATACAAGCATACAAACAAAACAAAAAGAACAGGCAGAAAAATAAGCACAATGCCTAGTTAATGCATAAAAATAAATACTATCACCTAGGGAGTCATCATAGATCTAAAACTTAAATGTATTTTTGAAGAAAAGCAGTAGCTATACATCTAAGAAAAAAATATCAAATACTCCAGTAACACATTATTAACTAAAAATAGCCTTAACATTCGTTTATTCAAAGATAATTTAAATGGGGTTGTAAGAACTCAAGAGTTGTATGTTGCCTATTAATAATAAAGATAGGATAGATAAATATCTTTCATAAAACTTGCTAGCTTAGTTCAATTTAAAACATTTAGGACTTTATCTTAAAATTATGCCATTAAGTAATCAATTGCTTAGAAAGTTAAACAGAACTGAATTCTGACAGAAAATCATTGATATAACATTGCCTTCTGAAGATAATTATATTTGGTATCTACTAAAATGGGATAGCTACTTTAGCTTCAGAACCTTCACCATTTTAATGAAATAAGCACTTGGGCAGTATGGAATCCTAAAACCACATAATTCTTTATATTAGGCACAACACAGTTCAAAACATATACTTGTAATTTATCCTCAACAAGAGCCGTGTTAATTTGCACTCTGAATTCATATACCTTAGAAATATTCTAATAAATGTATAAGCAATGTTTCAGCTTTTCTCATGAGATTTTAAAAAGAGAAATGTGTTGTTTTATGTATTTTTTGTGTATATATTCCTAATAATAATAATAATGTAATTTCCAATACACATTGTCCAGTTTTCCAAGTGGTACCTGAACAATGAGGTTGCGATCCACTCCAATGGCCATTTAATTGACAAGTTCTTGATGACTGTCCAAGAAGGGAACGCTTTCCTGTGCAGGAATAGTGAACAGTAGACCCAAAAGTATACTTCTCTCCAGACAGGACTGCATTCGGAGGAGCGCCAGGGTGTCCACAGTCAATCACTACAATACATAATTATTGAACATAAAATTTTTTTATATCTCCTATCGAACAATCTGTACCAACTCGTTTATAAAAATATAACAGCAGTAAATTTTGTGCTCAAACACCTAAAACCTCCAGAAATCAAACATCTATCTATGTGAAAACTGGTTTTTAAAAAATAAAATAGAGTTTACAGCTGCAGAAGCTTATTCTGTTAACTCTCTCATCCTAAGGATAAGTTTAAGAGGAATATTGTTAGATAAGTAAACAAAAAATGTTTTGAGTGATTATGACAAGTATGTATGGGTGTTGGTGGTGAGTGTGTTTCCATACACATATGTGCATGGGTTTGCAGTGTGTATGTGCCTGGACAAGGATGCACAAGTCAGGGAGAGGAGTGATACGGATTGGCTACATAAGGACATAAGATGCCACGTGGGATTCAAAGTGAATTCATGAAGAAATTAAAAGGGAAAAACTTTGAGGTGAAAGGAAATGAAGTAAAGATGGATATGAGGTTCACAATCTAATTTATACTCTAGAATCATTCCATTCCATGCTATTAATGAATAAATTATGCTATACAAAGAAAATAGTCAGTGGCTTGTCAACCAATACACTGCTAAGCATAGCGGAGTCAGAAAATACATTGTAAAAATATTCTTAGCTAAATGTAGCTTGGGAATTTAATGTGTGGCCCCTGTCAGTTGTTCTTGGAAAACTATTGAGTGCCATGTATCACTATAGTATCAAACAGCACATGAGGATACCTAAACTTAATAAAACATTTGAATACTTAGCATACTACTAGGGAGTGCTACAGGAAAAAAAAAATAAAAATAAAAAATAAAATAAATAAAAATAAAAACAGGCAAGAAGTATATGAGAGCTAAGAAAACCTGAAGAAGTTCAGACTTACATGCCTCACAAAAAGATTTTTAACTTTAATGGTATAGCTCTAGGTATTTTATAAAGACAATAAATATCCATATTGCTTCCATGGCTTTTTCTCAAGAAACAATTCACATTATCTACTTACTGATACATTCTGGTAAAGGTTTGTCCCATTGTCCATTTGGTTGACATATCAAAACTGAAGATCCAAATAAAAAATATCCAGGATTGCAGTCATAGAACACTACAGTGCCATAGGTGAAATTTCCATGTTCTATTTTGCTTTCTCTTTTGGAATTGGCTGGAATTCCAGGATCAGAACAGTTGACCACTAAACAAGTGACAAATTTTGAAAGGTGTGTTTAGAATAATATATGTATACATACATACATTTCTATTAGAAATTCAGAAACATAGTTTCAAGGTAAATTATTCAAATAAACCGAAGAGTCCAGGAATAAAATTATGGACTTCTGAGATAATAGCTGAAATATGTGTGGTTGAAAATATAGAAAAAAGAAAAAAAATTTTTGGTAAAGTTTTTTAACAGCAGCAACTCCATAAGCATTACGCTGAATACAGATTTAAAGAATATCTTTTAAGCTATAGTTGAACCATAAGAAAAAAATATACAGAAAAATTATAATCAGATTGTATGGTATCAGACAAGAGAAAATTTATTATACTTCTTCACAAAATGGGAAAACACCAGAGAATTATCTTTAATCTATTTCTATAGAGAAAACAACAGATAAAGCCTTAACGCAGATATCATGGTAATCCAGGCCCCAAATATAGTTTTTCTAAAAAATATGAAGAAAACAAATGCCAAAAGTAAGTTCCATTATGTATAAAGCTAAATTAAAGTAGAAATGATCTCAATATCTTTTTATATGCAGCCACAAAACAGGGAAAAGATAATAAAGTGAAGCAGGAATAACATCAGCCAGTTTTAACTTTTAAATACGTAAGTTAAAAATTTAAGAAAAAGGAAAGCATTGTTGATGAGATGACATCAATATTAGAGCTTTTTGTCTTATTAGCTGAAAACTTTCTACTGTTCTGCCCAAGTTGTTTCAAACGTATCTTCTATGTAATACAGGCACATTATTGCCATGCCCCAAACTGGAATATAGTTAGCCCTTTACCTTTGCACACCGGTGGCGGATGGCTCCATTGTCTGTTGGCCTGGCACTGTGCTTTGGTCGGCCCTTGCATAAGATACCCAATATTGCAAGAAAATGTTACCACATCATTAAAGTTGAATCCATTTCCACTTGTTCTTCCATAAATGGGACTACCAGGGTGACCACAGCTAACAGCTAATAGCATCACGGGGAGAAAGGATGAGGTCAAAAGCATAAAACAGAAAAAAAAAAATACTTATTAGGTATCATGTGGCAATTATACTTAATTTTTCAAGGTAGAAAAAGAGCACTTTTAGATGGAAATATATGTACGATAGCTTTACTAATGTAAAGGAACAAAGCGGAAAGTCAAAATAATCTACTATTATATTAGGTTGGCTCCATATCTTGGCTATTGTAAATAGGGCTGAGATGAACATGGAAATGCAAGTGTCCCTGTGACATGATGGTTTTCATTCCTTTGGATATATGCCCAGTAGTGGGATTACTGGATAGTATGGTAGAACTATCTGTAGCTGTTTGAGAAACCTCCATACAGATTTCCATACTGGCTGTAATAATTTAGTTTCACCAACAGCACAGAAGAGTTTCCCTTTTTCTGCATCTTTGCCAGCATTTGTTGTTCTCAGTCTTTTGGATTATACCCATCTAACTGGGGTGAGATGATGTCTCAATGTGTATTAATTTGCATTTCTCTGATGATTAGTCATGTCAAGCATTTTTTCAGGTAGTTATTGGACATTTATATGTCTTCCCTCAAAAAATCTAGTAAGCTCCTTTGTCCATTTTTTAATTGGGTTATTATTATTACTATTATTTTTCAGTGAAGTTGTTTGAGTTCTTTTTGTATTCTGGATATTAATCCCTTGTCAGATGTATAATTTGCAGATATAGGTTGTCTATTCACTTTGTCTGTCATTTCCTTTGACATGCAGAAGCTTTTTAGTTAGATATAATCCCATTTATTATTTTTTTTCTTTTGTCGCTGGTTATTTTGGGGTTTTATTCATAAAGTCTTTGCCCAGTTCTACTTCCTGAAGTGTCTCCTCTGTGTTTTCCTTTAGTACTAAATGCCCATCGATGGACAACTGTATAAGGAAATGTGGTATATATACACAATGGAATACTACTCAACCACAAAAAAGAAGAATGAAATTCTGCCATTCACAGCAATATGCAAGAGCTTGGAGAAAATTATGTTAAGTAAAATAAGCCAGTCACAGAGGGGGAAATACTGAATGTCCCCACTCTTAAGTGGGAGCTGAGAGAGAAAGAAAGAAGAAAAGAAAGACCACAATGGTGCCTTGAAGTTGCAGAGGGAGAGAACAGACCTAGGGTTGCATGGCGGGGGGGGGGGGGGGGGGGGGGGGGGGGGGGGGGGGGGGGGGGGGGGGG